CCCAGGTGTAAACCATGGAATAATTTCACTTAGTACTGTACTTGATTTGGAATGCCTTGTCTGAGTTATTTTTATGATCCTGGCAAGACAGTCAGACATCTATTTTGCTTGAAACACTAATTTTTACGTCCTAAGAAGTCAGTGACTCTGTCTAAATTTTTGGTAGTTAAACAGAAGTCCACAGATTCATTATATTCACAAATATGAACAATGAATTTTAGCAGAGATTCTGGAATTAAGTTTAAAAAAAAAAAAACAACCCTCTGCTTATAGTCTGTTAAAGACAAGGTAAAAAGTCAGGCTTCAAGTGGCTGCCCTGAGAGGAAAAAAAGTGTGTTTTCCCAATAAAATCTGTTTTCCCAGGTCTAGCATTTGAAGAATGTGGTAGCACGTCTTAAGATCACAAGAACTAGATGTTATAAGTTAGGAAAGGGCACTTTCAGGTAGTCTGCTGCAGAGCTTTCTGTTCTTGTATGTTTGTTGATCAGGACTGTGAAGAGGTGAGAGCCTAATAGATAGACAGAAAGTCTGTTGTAGCTAGAAAGGCTGTGCTCCTGGTGTAATTTGTTTTGTTCATAGGGTGTGTTTTTATAATACAGGCCCATACTGTAAATGTCTTGTCAGTGTTTATATATTGACAAAATGTTCCCTTTGTAGTTGTAGCCAGACTGGTAAGATGCTTGGAATGATGCAGGTTATTTTGTGTCAATTTATTAAGTTGTTTAATTGGCAATGAGTTTAGAAACAGAGAACAAAATAGTTTTAGAACTGTGAAGGTCATTGAGGGTACACCTTGATCTCTTCTTCCTTTTGTGCGTCTTTCTCTAACTTCCATGTTTTTGACCTAAAACATCTATATATCTGCGTTACTGTTCTCCTTTGCCCTAAAAAAAAAAAAAAAATAAAGGTGCAAAATAAGGTTGAAAACAGTTGTTGATATCTGTTCTCAGTAGGTGCTCTAGTTCACTTAATCATTTTTTTTCTCTTGCAGTGCTCTTCCAGCTCTCCTGGATTCAGATGAGGTCAGTAAACAAATTTTTGGTACAAATGAGATGCCAAAGGAGTTATGAGTCATCTGTTAAGGACTTGGCTTAATAGAACTGGGTTCTGTGATCTTGCCAGTGCATCAGGAGAATACTACCAGAGGAGGGAGAGTGGCCATAACCAATGATACAACTTGTTACAATACAAATGAGTCTCAAAGGTTTGCTGTCTGCATAGCTCATTCTTTCAGTGGTAATTGTACATATGCTGAAGAATACAATTTACCACAAAGCAAACAGTGGGTTTTTTTTAATTGCTTTACAAGCCCTTTCTGCTGTAGAGAGAGCGTGTGTCTGTCTGTGTGTGTCTGTCTGTGTGTGTCTGTCTGTGTGTGTCTGTCTGTGTGTGTCTGTCTGTGTGTGTCGTGTCTCTCTCTTTTTGCATACTCAGTTGTGGTTTTACCACTCAGTTTCTCCTCTTCCCTTTGTACGTGAACTCTTAGGGGAGGGATGTTATGCTGTGGAAAAGCAGCTGAATTATGTAGCTTGGAGAATACTTTTAATTAACGTTGTGGGTAGCAGATACTCTTGGTATCATGATACCATTAGTTAATGTATCACTTGAAAAGTACTGTAATGCATTTAGAGGAAATGATAATAGCAAAGTATTTTCGAGTCTTCTGGCATAACTTTGTGTTAGTGTCAAAAAATGCACGTTGGGAATTCAGAAGGCTTTTCTGGTAACTACTTTTTAAAATGCTACACAGCAATGATGAATAGTGTAGAGGATATTGTCATAGCACTGTGGTTTTTAAATGATGGCTCTGTCCCATGTTACTAGTATTATCGTGCCCATCGCTGTTTCCCCAAGGTCTATCTCCAGATAGTGTCAGTCAACTTGCTAACAAATAACAAATTTATGCTGGAGTTAAATTGTCAGGAAGATGTAATGAGAAAGAAGGTGAATATTACAGCGCTGAAATAACTATTTGGACTCTTTATGTAGGTAGTCCTTCATATTTTTGTATCTCACAGTAGAATCCCGTGTGTAAGTGTTTGAAAGGGGAGTCCATACTAAGCTGGTATCTGGAGCAGGAGCAAACAGTACAACTCATCAGCTAGTGAGGGAAAGTTACTTTCACAGCAGTGAAAATTATGATGCATGTGAATAATACATGTGTGAATGACATGACCTCTGACCTGTAGTCCTGTGAACTAGTAACTTGTGGATGGAAACGTATACCCTTTCTTTTGGAATGGAAAGTTATACCTGCTGTGTAAGTTGGACTCCTGGCTTAAAATGCGTATGAGTATGCATTTGTTGTAAATATGTGAGGCATAACCCCTTATTTCTGTATACTGTTAATATGTAGAGCCACATGACAAAACTAGGTCTTTTTTTTTTTTTTGTCTTGCAGGAAAGAATGATTACACACTTTGAAAGGTCCAAAATGGAATGAAGGAGCAGCAAATGGAGTTTTTGCTATTAGATGTGGAGACAGCTCTCTTAAAGTTGCTTGGTGGATCAAGTGCATCCTGCTGATTTGTTTCTTGATCTCAGCCTTGGGAGTTTGATGCTTTATTGGAATGAGGGCATCTTGCTGTGGAAGAAGTTCACAAAGACATTGATACACCTTTTGGAAATTTTGAATTTTCAAAGTTGCTGCAAGTTTGGATTTTTAAGCAAATGTATACTATTCTGGCACCTTCTGTAACTTTTCAAATATTTAATCTGTGAAACTAAAATTCCTAATGTCTGCTTGAGGAGTTTATATTTCAGTGTTACAATTTACTGGTCAACTGCCTGTATTGTTTTGGGGGGAGGGTGGGAACAGATAGAAATAAGCACTGGAAAAACAACCTACCCATTTTCTGGCAGATGTCAGTGAGAGGTTTTTATAGAGCAGTTCCTATTACTGAAGGAAATAGGATGCCAGAAAGGAAATATTTGGAAAAGTTACAGTGATATGATGGGTTTTTAACAAAATCAAGTGCAATTTTATTCGTAACACTGTGTAAGAAAGATTTTCTATTTTAAATGTCACTGACCTATAGGTAACAGTTGCATAAAGCTTACATTTGTTGTGGCACATCTCATTGCCGGCAATGTGGTGGATGCCTGGAAAAATGATTTGCCCCTACCTTCCCATTGTTGCATGACCTAATAAAAAGCAAACAAAGAAACAAAAAAAAAAACCCACGCACCAACCCACTACCCACTTCTGCAAAGCTCTGCAAGTATTTGACTATTATGCTAAGCAGCTATTAACTGGACGTTTTGGCATAACTCTCTTCTCTGCACATGTAACATCTCCCATCAAAAAATTATTACTCTTCTATGAGAAGATGATGTTGCTTTGTAGAGGGAGCAACCACTGCTTACCTTACCGGACCGAAGCTTTGATGAGAGTACAGAGTGCTGGGCTATTTCTGTTCCTAGTGTCTTAGTTATCTGGCCATCCCCTTTAGGCCACTTTAGTCTTGCCTCTAAAGTAAATGATTTGGTGATGTACTTTCCTGTCCTGTGTTAGTCCCTATGGTCAAGAGGTACTCTGTTGATTTGATCATTGTGTTTCAGTCAAAGTTGCAGATTTCTATTCTGTACGTTCCGCGCCCCCCCCCCCGCTTTTTAAAGGGGAAAGAACTTTGAAGTATCTTGGGTGGTTTCCTGGTTTTGTTTTAAGTTTGGCTGAGAAGGTTTCACTTGCAGTAACTTACACAGGGAAACCCATTATAGGCTGTATGACAAAGGCTCTAATTGATACAGTTCATAATCTTTACAACTGATAACTAGCAGGCAATGGCAACACAGCTTGACTTTTAGGGAGCTGTCAGACATGCTAGTTGTGGATCTTGCTGGACAGGCTTGGGGAGTCAGCTTTTCTTGTTCTTCGCCGATAGCGGATAGCTGCGATAGCTGCGTCTGCAGAAGTGTATGTGTGACTGTACTTCATTCATTCCACTGTAAAGTCTGATAGCTTAGCTCTAATTCATCAACAATTTATGCTGGAGCACTGCACTTTACAGTAGAATAGTTGAAACACAAGCGTACGTACCTTCTGTTAACTGTGCTCTGAGGGACAGCAACCTCATAGCAGAAGGGCAGAGAAAAAGCTGGGGCGTTAACACCTTAATCTGCCTCTGCAAGATTTGCGGAGCTCTCCTGCCAACCCCTTTTGGCCACAGGTAGATATTGTAGAATCTTTAATTAGGAAACATTTTGATTTTTAATTTGGTATGCTTAATTGATACAGATGAAACAAACACCCTCCATGCCTTTCTGGGGAGAAGAAATTTTGTGAAATAAAGCTACACTGAACTGACTACTTAATGCTATTTTTTTAAGTCCTCTTGATTTTTTTTTTGAGACAAATAGAGAAAAACGTTCTCTACTGGAAGCACAAAAAAGAAGTTTGTATGTACTATTTAATAAAAGCTAGGCAAAGAGTAGAAAGACTTACTTGGTTTCTTTCCATTTCCTCACTACCTGTTCCCTTATATGAGAAATTAACCATTTTTTGTATGACTACAAAAGTCATAAGTGCTGTTATTCCTAATAGTTACATTTTCCCCCTAATAGTTACATTAAATGTGCCAATTGAGTGGATGCCTGTGTCAGCTGAAAAGCTAATATAGACTGGGCAAATCACAAATTTCTGAACAAAAGTGAAAATTTGTTTTCCTGTTACAGAACCAGGGTGACTAATTAGTTAAAGACCAAAATAAATACTGTAGATGTGGGATGCTTTCAGTCTACTAGGTTTGAGCTGTCTTCTGACTTCCTCCCTTATCGCAGGGGTGGAAACTTGCATCAGTATTAGAACTGTCCTGAATTCTATGATGGCTTGCTCTGTTATGCCTTCTGGTTATAGCTTCTTGCTCCTGTAGATAGCTGTTCTTATTTTTCCACTTGGTTGGCAGTTTCCATGTCCTTGGAAAGGAGCATCTGCTTCTTAGCGTGCAGCGGCAGGCCTGTGCTGTGACTGCCTTATTTGCACTCCTGCGGAGAACTTGTATCAGGGATCTGTTTCCACGGTAGGAAGCAGGCTATGGCACGTGCTCAACTGCAGCCACAGTTAGGACTGCAGAAGAGGTGGCTAAAAGCAGGGAATGAGCCGCTGAGACGTGGATGGTGAACAAAGGGTACGTGTGCAAAGGCGTTGCGGTACCACAGCCTCTCCTCCGGCAGCATGCTGGGGCAGGTGTGCTGGTTCTGCTAAGGCAGTCTTTACTCTCCCCTGACTCTTGGTTTTGCTCTTAAACCTCATAGGTGTAGGGGCTCCATGATTTAATAGGAAAGCTTAGCCATAAAATCCTGCAGGTTTATTTACCTCTGCACATCAGAGATGACTTTAAAAGTCACATTTATACCCATTCTTTCAAAACAGGTGCTGTAATTTAAAACAAAAGGTACTGACTATTCTGAAGACCTAAAGAAGAGCGGTGAGGAAGAGGGAAAAAACATGTAACTAGTCTTCAGTCTGAGATCTGCAGAAGTTGTTAGTGATTAGAACGTGTAGAAACTGAATTTTCTTGAAGAAACTTGGCTGCTGACTTCAGACGTTATCTGTAACAACCTATCTGGGCTCTGAAGGTCTTTTAGCTCTTCTCAACTGAGATAGTGCTCCACTCACAAAAAATGTAACATGTCAGCAACTCAAATACAGAGGGACTTTTTTGGAGTTCTCTTGGCCTGATTAGTTTTGTGTGTGATTTTTTGTTTGTTTGTTTGTTTGTGAAAAGTGTGATATTACTAATGCAGTGGTAGCATATGCATGCCATACAGAAAGCTGTGAAAACAAAGTAGTAGTGTGGAAGATAACGATGTTGACTTGCTTTTCATTATGGTGCTAGATGCCTCTGCTAGAAGTGCTGAAGGAGAGACGGAGTAGTGTGTAGGGGGTCACATGATGTGGTAAAGAAATGCAACAGGCTTGATAGGCACAGAGTGAGTCAAGATCATAAGACTGGGGGTAGGAAAGGGTATTTTTGTCTTATAAATATCACAGATGTAGAGGGTGAAGTCTGTGGTTTTTTTGGCATTCTGTTCAATTAATACGGCATTTTATGTTGTATGTTAAGGGCGAGGTATGCTACTTCTACTCCTTCAAACCGGAAGAGGCCAATGCCTGGCGTGTAATTTGCAGCCTGGTAAAAATGGATTGCACCTGTTTGCTTGTAGTTACCTGGTGTAACAGAAACTTACTTTTCTCTCACTAATACCGGTGCTTTGCTCCTCTTCGTTTTGTAGGAGGTGCAGGGCAAGGAGCCCTGATGCACGCCTGAGCTGCAGCCTGCAGCTCTCTTGTCTGGGAAGGATGTGACCTGGCATGTGAGCCGTAGGGAAGCCCCGAGCAGGGAAGAAGTTGGCTACGGGGCGCCACGCTCGCTCTCCCGCCCCTGCGCGTCGGTCTCTGGCTCGGAGCATTTTCAGTCCATTGTCCCCACGCAGCAGCTGCTGCTGGGGGAGACGCTGGCGGATGCTGCGCCTTTTGCTGCTGCTGTGGCTGCGACGGGGGCTTTTTTGGGAAGGGGCAGCATCACAAGTAAAGATTTCCTAACAAGAACGCAAGTTCGCTGGCCCTTGGCCACATGAAGGGTTTTATCTGGAAAAGGGGTTCTGTCTTTTAAAAGGGATAACGATCCTTTTGCAAATGTAATCATACTAAAGAGAAAAGGAATGTGAAGTCACACAGATAACGGGACCGTCAAAAACAGGCATTTATTCCCTTGCAAGAGGTACGCTGATATTCTTGTCCAGTTTTCTTAGGTTGTGCCGGTCAGCTTCTGTCCTCCTCTGCACCAGCTGGCTTTCCCGTGCGCTCCAGTCTCGCGTCAGCAGCGGGCTCCGGTACCAGCCTCACTACGAGAAGGCGAAATTATCCTCTTAAAGCCTGACCCCTTCTCTGGCCGTACGCCGAGGCGACTCTTCCGTCGGGGTGAGGGCTGGGGCCGGCGGCAGCCTGGG